GAATTATACAAATATTGTGCTTTACTGTTTTGTACTTGATACTAATACTGTAGCTAATTGTTTTTCTTTGTCAGATAACTTAGTAATTGTTCATCATTTGTTTTCAATATTTGAGTTTTCAGAACTACAATCATAACTTGGTATTATATTATGTATCAGGACCGATCCTGAAAAATAAAATATTCTTAAAGGTTCAGGACGAACAAGAAAAAAATGATCCTTATCTTTATTATAATTTTGTATTTCTAAATAAAAATATATAATGAAAAAAATTAAGCTCTGTGCAGCTGCCCACTTTGCCCTCCCTCTAAGCCCCCCATGTTATGTATTTCACTTGCCAAGCTAGGTTGATTTTGGTATACATTTGTCTATTTTTTGAATTTAACGATTTTTAAGCCAAAAGTTTATAAATTGTACATGGCCTTTAAATGTAATATTACACCACTCTTAATCTGTTTCTAAAGTTTTTTAAATGTGAATTCGATTGTGAAAGAGAAATTAAATATCCTTCTACTTTTGTTTCTACAAATCCTCCTACCAATTAAATAATGATATGTGTCATATTAATGTTTAAAAGATCATTAAATGAGCATTAGATAATACACATGTCACTATTTAATTGAAGGATTTGTACGAAGAAATAGTAAGAAGATATTTAATTTCTCATTATGAAATTGGTTTTAGTAGCTTCCTTTCTTCAGTCACCGGTCTTACTAGTGGTCACCCAGTTTCCACCGCCACTTCTTGGCCCTCTTGGTGCGACATGTTTCAATTTAATCGCCCCCAAGACCAACGTAACCTAAGTCTGGTTTGGTAACTTTTAAAAGCCTTGAATAAAAGGTTTACTGTCTATTGTCTATAGCTATTGGTGACCATTGATTAATGAGTGAGATAATGTTGATGATTGGTGAAGAAGAAAGTTTTTTGTGATCTTGGACATTCTTATTCTTAATAAGTTTGTATGAATACGGTGTATGTTAAAATAAAAGGGTTGTATTGCATATTTGTTTCGAGAAACTATAGTTTTACGACATAATAAATGGTTTTTTTTGTAGTTGTATAATATAAACATGCATGGAGCATTTATTTTGTTTTTTCACCTTGGGCATGAATTACCTCGGGATCGGCCATGGTTCTAGATCAATCTCGTCTAGCCATCTATTCGTTTATTTTTCCGTTTCGATTTTTTTTTTCTTTTTTATTTGTTCGGATTCATAAAGAGTTGTGTTAGTTAAGTTGTAAGAGGGAGTTGGTTGATTTGATAAATAACCGAGTTAGTTGGAGTTAGGTGATTTATAAATGGTGGGCGAAAAGCGGGAGACCAATATGGGGTCGACCCAGACCGCAATAGGTTTTTTGGGGAGGCCGATCGGGGACTGGCCCGTGACTGGTTGTTCAGCAAAATGGAAGAACTTGCTTGGATCGATGGTTTTGGACCGATTCAATTTTGAGATTGTTTGTAACCAAACATACTACATGCCTATTATCATTGACGGGGTTGCATATAACAAGTGGGATGCATGGCCCCATCCTAATTTTTATTAGAAAAATATATTTTTTTATAGGATTACGTACTTGACAACCCACTTAAAAACATTGCACACCATTGCTTTTCCTCAAAAAACCTTAACAAGAGCTCAAAGTTTAGATTTTATTTTTATTTTTATTATTTTCAATATCTTTAACGTTATGGACCCCAATTAATGTTTGATCTGGATCAGCCACTATATATAATATCTATTATATATGTTTGATTGTGTAAATTTTGGGACCTATCCAAAATTGATTTAATCTTGATGGGTGTATTGTTCTTTTTCTAATGAAACTTTGAAGAACAAAAAAAGTTTTAATTTTTATATCATGTGCATGGCATACATATATTCCGTAAACTTTAAATATTATCTATTGGCGTCTATCATAATCATGAAATATTAATAATATTGGTTCTGATCTATAAAGTAATATAACCTTTTCTCATAACCATCAAGCGAGTATGTACGAATTATCAAAAGTTATTGTACGAAATTTCTTTAGTAATTATCAAACTAATATATCAAAACATATGTTCTGAATATATATTAAACAAATGTAAGTTGCTGTGGATTGTTTCATTTCTTTCTAACAATCACGTGCCTATAACGTGCCTACCACGTGCCCTTAACATAGGTTACAAGAATTTGTTTTCATACAAAAATGAAAAAGATAATAAAACGCAACGTTGTCAAGATCGGAATTCTATTTAGGATCGTTTTTGGGTTTGTAAGATCGGGATCGAGATCCTAAGATCCTACCAAATATAATATAATTTTAATTTATAATATTTAATCATGAAAAAATATTTCAAACCTTTAATTTTTCGTTCAAAAATTATAAAAACTTCAAAATATTAGTCATAAGTCAGAATAAAAAATGATAAATGATAAATTTGTAAAAGATAAAAGACATAAAGTGGTAAAAAAAATCAAAGGAATGTAGGATCGGATCAGATTTCGATCCTACGATCCTACCTGCGATCCTACCCCAAATACGTTCCTTTTACGATCCGGATCGTTTTTCATACCTAGGATCGTACGATCCTACGATCAGGATCATGATTTTGATAACCATAATAAAATGCATATTTTCTTTTGAGATTTATAGGCAGCTCATGAAATTTTAGTGTTATTTGCAATTTTTGTTTATTTTTTTCAATAAAAGTTTAAACCTCTCAATTTTTGTGAAGAAAGATACATAAAAGTTGTAGTTCTAAAAAAAAAAAATCACGTCGTCATGTATAGTCCGTGTCTCATAATTGAAAAGAAAAAAAAAAAAAAAAAAAAAAAAAAAAAAAAAAAAAATTGTTGCTAAAAATATCTTAGAAACCAGTGTACCCAATTGTGATTTTGGTTCCAACATTTCAAAAACCAATTGTTTCAATTACGGTTCTAGGAAATTAGGGTGGGCATTTCCTCCAGGCATTTACATGGTTTTTATATAAATTATGCGATATCATTATCCTCACATACAAAAGTATAGGGCTATAATTTAAATATATTTCAACATTTGAAATTAACTTAAGGGGATAATAATACAAAAGTCATTAATTATCACTTTTCTTCAATTTAGAAACTTATTACTTTTTAAATTGAATATTATATTTTTTCAATTTCGTTTAATGTTTGATCATTTCATCGGGACATCAGTTACCCGGTTGTCATGTTGAGTTGCAGTATGATGTTGGCCTAGCATAACAACATGATATGAAAGCCACAATATTATTTAAAAAAATCGATTTTTGACATTTGTTTTTTTTTTTTTTCAAATCAAGCATTTTCATCACAAAAACTCTTTAATGTTATTCAGTTTGTTAATTCGGTAACATGGATGATTTTTGTGTTTCAAATCATACATATTCATCCCGAAGATGATCTATTTATTAGGTTACATGGAGTTCTTCGGGTGTAAAGCTCTCCAACTTGGACATGGTATCCCATTGCTTTTGTGTCCCCTTTAATGTAGCTTGGATCCTATCAAAATCTTTGTTAATACAACGAAGGAAGTGATCCGAAGGGTTTCTTCAACTTGGACATGTTATCTCGACGTTTGTAAAGAACTAAATTCCCAACATGAAGTAAAACGATAACTTGGTAAAGATAATATTAAAACAAATGCAGTTAATAAACCTCTACAGCCAATTTGGCTTCACCAATTAAGATGATATTAGGATAAAGATGTTTGATTTGAAATACCCAGAATCATCTTTGTTATTGAATTAACAAATTGAATAGAAGAAAATGATCTTTGGGATAAAGATGTTTAATTTGAATATTTTTCGAAACTTTTTGAATAGTCATATATATTCCAGCAGTATATGAATTTTTTTTAGTAAAAAAATAAGATTTTTTGTGATTGTATTTTGTTCCCATTACAAAATATGTGATGTTTTATATAAAAAATCACTTGGTCAAAAACTTCTACCCATTTTAGTTATGTTTATGAAATTCATATTTTATAGGTTGTTTGCGTAAAGAAGCGTTTTACAGGAATTGAAATTGCCACAAACCATAAAAACAGGAGGAACACATGACAGTGGAGGAGATAGTGTGAAAATGAAATCTCTTGCTCCCTCTCCCTTTTCTTCTTCATCTTTCATGTTTGCATCTTCACCACTCGAAATCAAACTTCTGCTCTCAAATCCAAACAATAGGAAACCCCAATTCAATCTCAATCTCACTCCTACGAACCTCAAACCAGACACAATTTCCTGTAAAGCAACACAAAATGAAATCGATGAAACCCCACCAAGCAAGAGTCGTCAAAGCTCAACAACACACAAAGTGGAGGATTACAACATTGCCATGAAGAGAATGATGAGAAACCCTTACGAGTATCACCATGATCTTGGTCAGTCTCTCTCTTGTCTCTATTTTTTATTTGGATTCGAATGAAATAGTTATGTTACCGATGAATATTTACATGGGTTTGGACGAATTCATGTAATGGTTTGTGGGTTTTATTGAATCCCTCTTGTGATCTTGGACTTACTTCATTAATCTGGCTAAACTAATTTGTTTCAATTTGATTGATATCTGTGATGAATACTTCAATTACTGTAGTGACTATTAACAATTGACGAATTTAAATTCTTCTACTTTCGGGAATTGTTTATTTCATTTAGCTAGGGTATCAAATCAATTGATAAGGTGTTCTTTGTGTTATTAATATGGGTTTTTTATATGTGTTTGCCTTTTGCAAGTCTTTAACATAAACCTACGAATCTACGATATGCATTTTACCTTTATTCCTTTGACTATCAAAAGTCAAAGTCAATTACAGAAAGATGAAAGAGAAGATACATAAATGTAGAGTACCTATAAAAAGCTTTACTTTTTATGGTGTTAAAAAGAAAGATTAAAAAAAGGTTATATCTTTGATTCTTGATAGTATCTATAACAATATTTGACGTGCCTTTTCAGGCATGAATTATAATCTGATAACGGAAAATCTTATCGTTGGATCTCAACCTCAAAAAGCCGAAGATATCGACCACCTTAAAAACGAACAAAATGTGGCATACATTCTTAACTTACAACAGGACAGCGATATTGCTTATTGGGGAATAGATTTGGAATCGATAGTCAAAAGATGTAAACAAAATGGAATTCGCCATATGAGAAGACCCGTAAGCACAACAACTTATCTAATCTCCAACAAATCAAATCAAATCAAATCAAATTACAAGAATTTAACAAATCCTGTTTCTTTTTTCCCCATTAAGTCTTGTGTTTTCTTAAAGTGCAGGCAAGAGATTTTGATCCAGATTCTTTAAGGAGCATGTTACCAAAAGCTGTTTCTTCACTAGAATGGGCCATTTCTGAAGGAAAAGGAAAGGTGTATGTACATTGTACAGCTGGTTTAGGTCGCGCTCCTGCTGTTTCCATTGCTTACATGTTCTGGTTCCTTGACATGGATGTAAGTTAACCTTTTTCTCAACATGACATAACACAGTTTTACATTTTTATATTGATTGGATTTGTATTTGCGTGTAGTTGAATACAGCATATGATAAGCTTACTACAATAAGACCATGTGGACCGAATAAAAAGGCGATACGAGGTGCTACTTATGATTTGGCTAAAAATGATCCCGGGAAAGAGCCTTTCGAGAATCTTCCGGAAGATGCGTTTGGGAATGTGGCAGAGTGGGAGAGGAAATTGATTCAGAATCGTGTTCGTGATCTTCGTGGAACTTGAACAAGATTATAGTTAGAAATAAAAGAGGTTAGTTTATTTCACTAATAATGGGGTTCAATAAACAAACTGACTTTTTGTATTAAGTCATTTTTTCTGTAAGTTTGTTTTTCTATGAAGTGTTTGTTATCGATATAAACTTGTGTTTGGATAAATGGTATTTGAAAAAACAACATTTAAGTGAATTCTATTAAGTGAAAAGTAAACATTTTACCCAATTTGGGAACTCCATTTCTTCCATATTTTGATATTATCAACATAAACTAGTTATTACACAAACTAAGTTTATACAACATAAACCATGCCAACTTCCAACAAAGACGCCGGAGGCACTTTCAACACCACATCCGGTCCCCGACAATTCCTTCTTAAAAAATTATACCCGAAATTAATCGCTAATCTTTTAAAAACAGACGATCCTTGTTTTGCTTTCACATGCGAATGCCCGAGAATAAACGCGGTCCCGCTTTGTTGAGCCGCCAACAAATCTTCAAGCTCACGCCTCATTTGCACATCCGGTGAACTCGAATTTTCCGACTCATCATTATCATCAACCGTGAATCGCACCCGTCTCTCCTTCGGTGAACTCATCTCAATTATATCCCCTATGCTCTCAACCGTTTGGAACCCTAGTGACACACTTTCTTGTTGCATATTTTCATCCACCTCAAAGTTTCCAATCACCGCGAGTCGGTGCTCCCCGGAGGACCGATCGGAAGCCCCCGCGTGATCACCCGCACTGCTCGCCCGCGGGCGGCACCAGTCATAATGAATGAAATCGGCTAACCGTTTAACAAGATCGGACTCGAACGAATCCACATCTTGATGCACGTCGCGGTACCCGTACCGCACGATGCACCGATAAGCTCGAAGGGATGCAGGACCCACACGGCCCAATAGGTACCTTTCGGCCGGAGGGACGAACGGGACGGGTACCGATTTCACGCAGACGAACACTAGAATACGGTGGAACGCCGGAAGGTTTGTGACAAACCGCGAAAAGTTTGCGGGGATCCCCGAGGTTAAATCGGTGAACACGAGCCCGATCCCGGGTACACGACACATGCCTAAAGTGGGACCCAAGGCTAGGAGCCATTCTAATGAGACCTTATTGTGAAGGTCGTATTCGTATTTTTTGACACTCGCGTAATGCCAAACGAACATTATGGTGACTAGGAAGAGGGCGAGTAGGATTGGTAGCCACGCACCTTCGCGGAATTTGACTAGGGAAGCCGAGAAGTATAGTAACTCGATTGAACCGAAGAATAAAAGGAAAAATAACGCAACAATTGGCGGTTTGTGCCAACATAAAATGATTACTAACGATGTGAGGCACGTCGTCACGAGCATCACCGCCATTACCGCCAATCCTGCAATCACATCAAAAACGAACATTTAGATAAAACAGACCCTACTGTGTTTGGCATTTGGCATTGACTGATGATATGATATGACATGACATGACAGGATGTACCTGATGCATTTCCCATGTGTTTGATATCACGAAAACCGATGGTGACAGCGATACATAGGATCATGAGTATCCAATTGATCTCCGGTATGTAGATTTGACCATGAATTTTATCGGACGTATGCACGACTTTGACTCTTGGAAAGCAACCGAGTGATTGACTTTGGTTGATGATCGAGAATGTCCCGCTGATGATCGCTTGGCTTCCCACAACAGAAGCAAGAATCGCAATTGCAAGCACCGGCCACCTCAAACTTTCTGAAATCAAATGGGAATATGGGATCACGTAAAACCACTTGCTAATTTACGATTTTGCCCTTTAATCAACAAACAAAATTGAAAATACCTGGAACCGAAACGTAATAACTGATGTTGTCGTTCATCTCGTGATGCTTTGATAAGTAAGCCGCTTGACCCATGTAACCAAGTATGAGCGCCGGGTAAACCAGAAAAGTGAACGCGATCTGCAAGGGCAAAATGGGAAAAATACAAAATACCCGTAAATATCAAACACGTAGTTTCAAAATATAGATAACCTTTGTAACAGTCTAAATTTACCTGAATTGCAGCATAAGAGAAGTGACCAAGGTCGGCAAACATAGCTTCGGAGCCTACATTGATTCAATTTTGACTTTTGGGGTCATCAAAAAAGTTTCAATCAATTTTAAAGGTAAAACATGTAATAATAAAGACAGTTGATTTGACACCAAATGGTGAAAAGACTTGTACTTTTTTTACCTGTTATGCATAGTAAAATCCCTCCTAAAGACATCCAGCCTTGTTTTTTGGTCTTCCTGAAGAACTTTAGCATGTAATAAGGTGAAAGAGCTTGATAGACTTTTGGATTCCAATGAATGATATTGTATACTCCAAGGGCACTTATGCAAATAAGCCATAATAACACAATGGGCGCGAAAAAGAACCCAACTCGATGTGTCCCGTAGTGTTGTAGTGCAAACAGGCACACTAATATGAAGCAAGTAATGGGTATTACTGCATCTGCAAATAACAAAACAATATTTTATTATTAATTCTTATAAGAAAACATTTCGAGCATAAAAAACAAATAGTTTTTTCCATCCAATTAAAATTTACAACACTTTTAGAAAGAAAGAACATGTATAAGTTTAAAGAAGGGACCATGAGACCACGGTTTTAACAAAATCAAGGGTCCCCCAACCTACAATCATGCAAAATGATGAAAAAAGCTGCATTGATAATAAAGTTGGGTGTGGAGATGTCTGTTTTGAAAATATTGAATTTATCTCAATAAATTTTTTTTACTCAGCTTCTTCATATTTTAACATTAAATAATCTGACAATCAGAAATTCAGAATAATAATAACTTGTACTCAAACACTCAAAAAAAAATTAATTATCAACGTACAGACAAACTGAAACACCCCCTAAAAGACGGAAAGCTTTAAACTCACATTGATGGTGATCTTTGGACATAGATAACTCAAGCCCAGAAACTGCAGAAAAAACTGCAAAACAAACAAATATACAGTACGATAGTTGTTAATAAACTTAAAAACGAGGGGGCGAAATGTAAATTAGACAAGCTTTTATATTTTACCAGATATCGCCGGAGTAAGGAGTCCATCTCCGATCACCATACAGGTGCCGAGAAGAACCAAAATTAGCAAAGCAGTATGCAAAAACTTGTATTTTTCAAGCAACATTTTCACTTTCGTGTTGTTTTTTCTCTCGGGAGTTTGCTCAAGTTTATATGTAGATAACGATTCATCAGCCACTTGTCGGTTTGGTAACAGGCTCACTTTAGCATTCCGGCAAATCGACGAATAAAGAGCAAAAGTACCACCTAAAAGATCAATCGATTAGAATTTTTAACTTTTAAATTGATCTTAATTGGGTTGAAATCAAATCAAATAATGAGAAATTATATGAAGTTTACCTTCGCCATTATCATCAGCTCGGAGGACTATGAACACGTATTTGAAAAGAGGGACGAGGGTTAATGTCCAGAAAACAAAAGAAAGAACTCCGAAAATCTCTTCGTTTGTTTCAGAGTGATGAATGTCTTCTGCAAATGTACTTTTGTAAACGTAAAGTGGAGAAATGCTGAGGTCACCATAGACGACACCGAGACTTTGATAAGCTAACAGCAAAGTTGTCCTCCATGAATCCTTCTAAACAAATTTAAACAAAAACATATTTTTATATATAGAAAGAAATTGAAAACCGGAAAAAAGATTTCTTCAATGTTCTTGATTGATACCTTGGAATTGGCCCAACAATTTCCGTATTCAAGATCCATGCTTCAGAATTGCAAGATTCCAGCTGAAAGAAAAACAATAAACTTAGACTTCTACTTCACAGTTGTATTTTGAGAATGAATAAAGAGTAACCCACTTGCTAAAAGAACTCTAATGGTGCCCCATACTCATTGAAAGTGAAAAGGCGAAGGATATGAAGCAAAAGACACCATGTTTATGCAGAATAGATGATAAGTATCAAGGGAATTGAAAAAGATAAAAGACTTATTAGAGAACTTTTTCATAACCCAAGAAGATATTCTTTTTTCTTGTGAGAAATGGAATGGAACCCATACCTCACTCAATCCCAATGTGCACCTACTTTTAGCAACAAAACTTTACCAGAACAGTGAATTTAAATAAATGAAATTTAACCCCTAAATAATCAAGTGTGATTTATAAATGAGATTACGATGTAGAGGCAGGAATGTAACATGAGTTTAAAAAGTTTAGAGAATAAATTAGGAAAGCGATGACAATCACATGACTCAACGACAATTGCATTATGATATCATCTAATCAGTCACAGAAAAATCGAGCCCACAAGATTCAAAAACTTTTAAGGACCACTTTACCCCTCTCTATCACTCACTTAGGCATGCTCATAATTCATGATAGATACCAAACTCCCACCAACCTATCTAAACTAAACACACAATCAAGATTTCAATGGACTTGTCAAGAATTAGGCAGGATGTTCTTTCAAAATTCCACATTTAAGTAAACCAAATCATGCTAAAATGAAATCCAACACTTCATATGATCAAGTAATTACCTGAAACTGATAATCTTTATTAGGCTTAATCAAATCAAGATTTGAAAAAAGTAACCCATTTTTCCAATATAAAGAATGAGATTCTTGGGTGGGGGTGGGGGTGGGGTGGGGTGGGAGTTATGGTTTATGGGAGAAAAGAAGCAAGAGCACGTGACTAGAACATGGACCCCTTTATGAAATCGTGACTTAATTTTCGCTAAATATCTCCTTTATTTTCTCTCCTAACCCTTGCTTGTTTGTTTGGTACTCACGGCTTCAACGTTTAAGTTTTTAAGGTTTCATCTTTTTTCTGTTTTCAAGAACCCACCAAAAATGTGTGAAAATGAGAGTGGGGATCACCTACCTGTCGTGTTCTCAGTCATTATTGAGATTTGAGGCTGTATGTAAAGCAATGAATATTGAATCCAAATGAGTACAATCAATCATAACAAACCCATAAAAAGCACCAGTCTTTATCGATAATAACATGAGAGGAACTTCTCGTTTACAGAAAAGAAAACACATGAACCTGATATCCAAATCCCATTTTCAGCCATTAATGAACTCAAAAAGCTCCATAGTCCCTCCGAATTCATTCAATAACAGCCAAGTCGGTTGCTTTCTCTTGATTTAAAACAGCGTCTATCTGGAAATTGGAGATGGGTTCGCCATTATAGATCTTGAGAGAAAAAGATTAAGAAAAATGGTGTGTGGGCAAGCAGAAAAGGGGAATATTATTAAAGTCGGATGCTGGTGTATGACTGTATCTGCAATCTGCATAAAGAAATAGATGGGCGGGAGTATTGAAGGAACGATTTTAGGTGAAGTGAATATTATACGAGTGAAAGTGAAGTGGTTGTGAAGGCTTTTTAGAGGATTTGAATAAGGATTGAAGTTTGTTTGAATAATAAGTATTCAAATGGGGAATATTTTAGTGTCGGGTCGAATGTCGAGTATAGCATTGTCTTTATTCAGATGGGTGGATGTAGACGATGGTTCACGATCCGTATATAATTTTTTATCGGATAATATATAAATGATTAATTAATATTTAACCCAAAGCTTAAAGCGTCGACGTCTATAACTTTAATTCTTTAAACACTAGAAGACATTTTATGTGATTTAATTCTATAAAAAACGATATTATTACAAATTCAATAACAAAGTATATAAAAATAAGAAAAATAGAAATATTGTGTTAGATTTTATTTGAAAATCGTTATAGATATTCAGTCAATAACACTTTTTAAGTAATTTAATAATTCAATAATTTAATTTAAAATTTAGTGTCAAATGAAAAAAAAAAAACACTATATTTTGTCATCATTGTTGTTCAATTGAGATTCTCTTTACTTGCTATTAAAATTGCATATGAGTGGGTAACTTTGTCCTGAAATACCCACGCCCCCTCCACCCCCGGAAAAAATATATATATATACTATATAGTTTAGTGAATGTTTAATATATAATATATTATGTAATAGTATGTGGTATACATAGAATGAAATCTCAATGGTGTCATACAATTGGCATACAAAATTTTATGGAAGGCACGTTAGAAAATTTATGAAAAGAAAAATACACTGTATTTTAAAATTTGAGGTGTTGTACCGGTCACCCCCAAATCCCCATCCCCATATTTGGTTTAGACATTTGAAGTATAGAACATTTCACTTGTTTTGTTATTGTGTGAGCCCAAGTCGACTTCTTTTACATTCTTCATCTAATCTTGTGTTGAAATCCACCGACCCTTACTTTGTCTTAATGTCTTTCATAATCACCGGTGGCTATTCAAATCATCAAAAAAATGGTAGAACTCCAATCATATCCCTCTCTTTGATGATGGATTAAGTTACTTATTAATAATGCCCATATGACGATTTATATAGAAGTGTAAAATAAAATTAGTGTGTTTATGTTTATATACGCATTATTTTAAACATCATTTATGTTTATCTTATGTTATTTGATGGACATGACATCTTTCCTTATAAACCACAAACCATTAAAGTCAAAACTAGGGATATGAGACCATAGATTATGCATTTTTATTGTTTTTTGTCTATAGATTTGTGTGACCACTTATGTCTGCACGTGACCACTTATGTCTGCGCTGTACAAACCAAACGTAAACATACACAAACTTTTTTGGAAGTGAATAGACCTAAAACATATGTGCAATGGACCAATGTATTATAAGGTCTTCACAAAAATCTAAAAAAAAAAAAAAAAAAAAAAAAAACAAACAGACACACAACATTTTTTTCTCACAGTGCCTCAAGATACATCGATGCCTCCTTCCACTCCTTCCACCGGTCTTCTTCAACCTCTCTTCTCCTCCTCGTGCCGTAGCCATCCGCACCAGAACCGTCGTCTCCCTCATGTCCGGCCACACCACCACACTCACTCTATTGTAGTGCCAGATTTTCCCCAGATTTCTCCTCTGCTCTGCAATCGCTCACGCCTGTCGTCGCTGTCTCTGACAGTCACGCCCGCCGTCGTTTACCATCGTCTCCGACCTTTGCTGCCACCGGTAAGAACATTTTCACTAAAATCAATTGTTATTTTCTAGGATTTGTTATAGTTTCTAGAAATCAGATGTTATTGTTGGTGAAATTAGATTAGTTTGCTAAAACACAAAAATTATATGTACATTTTATGAAATCATATGTTCATAAGTAGGGATGTCAAAAACCCCCGTGGGATCCCGATATCGTTCGGGACTAAAATTAAAAATAAAAAAAAAAAAAAAAAAAAACCCGGAGCGGGAGCGGGGAAGAAAGCAAAATTAAACTCCGTTTATTTTCGGGACCGGGGTCAGGAGTCGATATTTCCGTGTCGTACTCCCGCGGGGGGACCCCAGTTGTGTATATATATATATATATATATATATATATATATATATATATATATATATATATATATATATATATATATATAAAATAGATTTTTCTAATTTTAGGTTTAGTGTAGGTTTCACTTTTCCGTTTCCAATTAATGGATATTGAAGATGTAGCGAATTGATCATATATTTTTGGACATGTAAGTATTTTATATTTGTAATGTTAGATTTTTCATATTTTATATTTGTAAGATTGTTGGAATTGTCGTTTTGTAATGTTGGATTCGTGATATAGAATTTTTAATTTTTAGTTTCTAATAGATTAGGTTTTAAGCTTTTAAAGTTATTAAAAATAGTTTTTTTAGCCTAAAACAAAACGGTTTTTAGCAAAAAAAAATCGAATTTTAAGCCTATAAACCGGGGGAACGGGGGCGATGGAGGTAACCGGGGGATATGTAAACGGAGGATCCGGGGGCGGGACTGGGAGTGTGGGCAACAACTGATTTCGGGGACGGGAGCGGGGGCAGCAATTTCCGCTCCCGTTTGGTCCCGTTGACATCCCTATTCATAAGTGTTGGAAATCAGATTTCTTTGCTAAAATGGTATATACTTTGCTGAAATATAAAAAAATGTTGTTCAATTTGTTGAAATTAATTGTTATTATTGCTGGAAATCTCATTCTTAACTAAAATTAGATGTATATATTTGCTGAAACCACATTTTAACTGAAGTTAGTTGTTATTGTTGTTGCTGGAAATTGCATTTATTAACTAAAATTCTAGTATATAGTTGATGGAAATCACATTTTAACTGAAATTTGTTGTTATTGTTGATAAAATAATATTCATGTATGATGTTTTAATGCTTGTAATTCATATATTTTGTAGTTCATTGGAATTATAGCCTTGAAGCATTAGGCTAAAGATATTCTTGAAGAGAGCTCTTAATTGATTTGCAACGACGAGTAGCATTGGCAAAAGGAAGGCTCACATTCTATAAACATAAGTGACTGATGGATGCATGAAATCTATTTGATGAAATGCTTGAGAGGGAAGGGGCTGAAGTTGGTTACATTAAATATGATTCATGTATAGAAATGGCTACAAGTTAAAAACATTTGTCTATGAATCAAATTTGTGTATGTTGGTGTGATGAATGACTCCAGTTGCCATACCACATTTGGAATACATATCAAATAAGTTATATGATCTTTTTTTGTATAATATGTGAAATTAGAACACGAATGTGATAAATGATTCATAAACCATTTAGAAAATTGCTTTTAGTTGTCGTACAAACATGGTTTGTTCTATTTGTCAACCATTATGTTATTATGTTATGTATTATTGTTTAGCTAATATAACTAATAATGTATATTTAGTTGCCTTTTGTTTGCTAAAAGAATTACAACTTTGTTTTTTTGTGATATCAAAAAGATTTTAAGATGTTTGATTTATATTTTAATGTTGTATTATTTGAAAATAAAAGATTTTAGATGTTTGATTCATATTTCAATGTTATATAATTAAGAAAAATTATGGTTGTATGATTTATATTTTAATGTTATAAAACTAAAATTATTTAAATTTTCATGTTGAAAAACTTTTTAAGTTTAAAAAATTGGTTTAGTAAAATTCCGATTTATTTTACCAGTGTACATACGTTAAAATACAAACAGTCTTCTATTTACAGACTGCAATCGTTTGTTCCACCTCTTCTACTGCAGATGTTTGCAAATATGGTTCGCAGACTGTAACCTTTTGCCTCTAAAAAAACAAACAACACCTTAGTTTTTTTTCTTATATTCTCCCTCGCAGTTCTTTCCTTCCAAAAAACATTCGCCACAATCATTTAGGAAGAACACTGATTTTGATATTCACTCTAATCCATCGGGTTTTGTGGTGCACTAAGGAAACTTAAGCATCCAAAATTTACGACCCAAAAAAATTATTTTTGATTAAAGTAAAAACAATTTTCTAAAACATTGTTCATACAACCTAATAGAATAAATATGTCAAATATCATCAAAATCATAGTATGTCTCATAAACAGGATACATATTGTGTGTGTGACGCAGTTAACCCGAGCTCTTCCTCTTGTAACCGGAAGTACCTGAAACATAAACTAAAAACCGTAAGCACAAAGCTTAGTGAGTTCCCCAAACTACCTCATACCATACATACAATAAACATATAATGGGCCCCGCCCTGTCATCGGGCTTCTCCCCGGCATCGGACCCCGTCCGGCATCGGGCCCCGCTTGGTAATAGATCGTGCCC